GCTCTGCTGTTCCCCCACTCAGTAGTAACCTCCAGCTCTGCTGTTCCCCCACTCAATAGTAACCTCCAGCTGTGCTGTTCCCCCACTCAATAGTAACCTCCAGCTGTGCTGATCCCTCACTCAGTAGTAACCTCCAGCTCTGCTGATGCCCCACTCAATATTACCCCCAGCTGTGCTGATCCCACACTCAGTAGTAACCCAAACTCTGCAGATCCCCCACTCAGTAATAACCTCCTGCTCTGCTGATTCCCCACTCAGTAATAACCTCCAGCTCTGCTGATCACCCACTCAGTAGTATCCTCCAGCTCTGCTGATCCCCCACTCAGTAGTAACCTCCAGCTCTGCTGATCCCCCACTCAGTAGTAACCTCCAGCTCTGCTGATCCCTCACTCAGTAATGACCTTTAGCTCTGCTGATCCCCCCGCTCAGCAGTAATCCCCAGCTCTGCTGATTTCCCACTCAGTAGGCCAGCCAGCTCTGCTGATCCCCCACTCAGTACTACCCCAGCTCTGCTGATCCCCCCCACTCAGTAGAACCCCCAGCTCTGCTGATCCCTCACTCAGTAGTAACCCCAACTCTGCTGATCCCCCACTCAGTAGTACACCCAGCTCTGATCCCCCACTCAGTAGTACATCCAGCTCTGATCCCCCACTCAGTAGTACATCCAGCTCTGATCCCCCACTCAGCAGTAAGCTCCAGCTCTTCTGATCCCCCACTCAGTAGTAACCCCCAACTCTGCTGATCCCCCACTCAGTAGTAACCCCCAACTCTGCTGATCCCCCACTCAGTAGTAACCCCTAGCTCTGCTGATCCCCCGCTTAGTAGTAACCCCCAGCTCTGCTGATCCCCCGCTCAGTAGTACCCCCAGCTCTGCTGATCCCCCGCTCAGTAGTACCCCCAGCTCTGCTGATCCCCCGCTCAGTAGTAACCTCCAGCTCTGCTGATCCCCCGCTCAGTAGTAACCCGCAGCTCTGCTGATCCCCCGCTCAGTAGTACCCCCAGCTCTGCTGATCCCCCGCTCAGTAGTACCCCCAGCTCTGCTGATCCCCCGCTCAGTAGTAACCTCCAGCTCTGCTGATCCCCCGCTCAGTAGTAACCCGCAGCTCTGCTGATCCCCCGCCTCAGTAGTAACCCGCAGCTCTGCTGATCCCCACTCAGTAGTAACCCCCAACTCTGCTGATCCCCCACTCAGTAGTAACCCCCAGCTCTGCTGATCCCCCGCTTAGTAGTAACCCCCAGCTCTGCTGATCCCCCGCTCAGTAGTACCCCCAGCTCTGCTGATCCCCCCGCTCAGTAGTACCCCCAGCTCTGCTGATCCCCCGCTCAGTAGTAACCTCCAGCTCTGCTGATCCCCCGCTCAGTAGTAACCCGCAGCTCTGCTGATCCCCCGCTCAGTAGTAACCCGCAGCTCTGCTGATCCCCCGCTCAGTAGTAACCCCCAGCTCTGCTGATCCCCCGCTCAGTAGTAACCCCCAGCTCTGCTGATCCCCCGCTCAGTAGTAACCTCCAGCTCTGCTGATCCCCGGCTCAGTAGTAACCCGCAGCTCCGCTGTTCCCCCGCTCAGTAGTAAACCCGCAGCTCCGCTGATCCCCCGCTCAGTAGTAACCCGCAGCTCTGCTGATCCCCGCTCAGTAGTAACCCGCAGCTCTGCTGATCCCCACTCAGTAGTAACCCCCAACTCTGCTGATCCCCCGCTCAGTAGTAACCCCCAGCTCTGCTGATCCCCCGCTTAGTAGTAACCCCCAGCTCTGCTGATCCCCCGCTTAGTAGTAACCCCCAGCTCTTCTGATCCCCCACTCAGTAGTACCCCCAGCTCTGCTGATCCCCAACTCAGTAGTAACCCCCAGCTCTGCTGATCGTTTGGTTTGCTGCTTCTCTCTCTGTCCGATACCCAATCATCTCCTGCTATATTGTTTCCATGCTGTGCACCACATTTAACATTGCTAGTTTCTCCTGATCCAGTTCCCCAGCTCTGCTGCTCCTCATTCCTCTCTTTCTTGTCCCCGCTCACCTTCTGCTATAGCATTCCCATGTTGCACCCCACGTGTGCTGTCTTCCAGTGGCTCCCCCACAGTTCCATCCCCACTCACCTTCCTGCTGCTCCATGCTGCACACCAGATATGACACTGACACCAGACACTCCCCAGAATATCTACACATGAACCGGAAGTGACTGCTGATGACGACTTTCCCCTTGTTCGATTCCCAGTGCATCCTGGGATATCTCGTACCTGCAATACCTCTAAAACAAGGTGAAGCTGAATAAAAGCCCCTCAAAACCTGCAGGGAGCGTTGCCATAGACCTCTATAGAGGCTTTGAAGCACCAAGAAAATGACAGGGGGTATCATTTCTGAATGGAAGCAAAGCAAACACATGAACAGGACTGTAAGGTGACCATTTTATTGAGTGACGGGCTTTCTGCAACAGTTTCAGTCTGTTGTTTTAGGTCCTGTATTTAACAACTTGCCGTCCAGCTGCTGTATATAAAACGGCTGGACAGTGGCAGTCCAGGGGCGGGTTGCTGTTCATAAACAGCGCCCCCCATTTTGGACTCTGTGCACTCCCTGGGAGCGCACAGCACCATTATCCGGTGCCCGCTGTGTCCCCCGGACACAGTGGAACACCGATCGTTGTATGGGACCTCTGTGCGAGGTCCCGATCATGTGATCACTGATTGGCCAATCAGTGATCACATGAAGAGTAGTAAGCAAGAGGTCACTTCTGACCTCATTGCTTACTACGTGTGAAATCTGTGAATGATCACTGAGATCACATGGTACAGGGCCATTCACAACAGCCTTGTACCATGTGACAAGCTGTGACCAATCACAGCTCACACAGTATTTCTCAATGGCTGCAGGAATGTAGCCAGAGAAAAGGAGAAATGATTCCTCTTGCAACCTTTATGGGTGTAAAAGCAATCAGTGTAAAAAAAAAAAAAAAAAATCTTCATCTGCCCCCCACAAGTAGTACAGTGTCACCATGGTGCTGCTAGGGTGACGGAATATAAAAAAACAAAATACCATAAATAATTTAAAAAAAAAATAAAAATAGTTTTTGGTTATAAACTAATTTGGGTTATTTTTTTTTTTTTTTTACTAAAAAGATAAAAAATAAATTTTGGCCGAGATTTATGATGAAATATTATTTATTTGCAAAAATTTTATAAGAAAAACAGTTTTTCAAAATTTTTGGACATTTTCATTTATATAGCAAAAAAAATAAAAATCCCAGCGGTGAATAAATACCACCAAAATAAATCTTTATCTGTCTCAAAAAAATGCCAAAAAATTCATATGGGTACAGTGTTGCATGACCGCGCAATTGTCAAAGTGTGATAGCGCTGAAAGCTGAAAGTTGGCCTAGGCAGGAAGGGGGTGAAAGTGTGCAGACTGGAAGGGGGGGGGAAGCGTCCGGACTAGAAGATGGTGAAAGCGTCTGGACTGGAAGGGGGGGAAAGCTTCCAAACCGGAATGGGGGAAAAGCGTCCGGATTGGAATAGGGGGAAAGCGTCCGGACTGGAATAGGGGGGAGGAAAGCGTCCGGACTGGAAGGGGGGGGGGGGGGAGCGTCCGGACTGGAAGGGGGGGGGGGGGGGGGGGGGGGGGGGGGGGGAGCGTCCGGACTGGAATAGGGGGAAAGCGTCCGGACTGGAATAGGGGGAAAGCGTCCGGACTGGAATAGGGGGGGGGAAAGCGTCCGGACTGGAGGGGGGGGGGGGGGGGGGGGAGCGTCCGGACTGGAATAGGGGGGGGAAAGCGTCCGGACTGGAATAGGGGGGGGAAAGCGTCCGGACTGGAAGGGGGGGGGGGAAAAAAAGCGTCCGGACTGGAAGGGGGGGGGGAAAGCGTCCAGACTGGAAGGGGGGGGGGGGGGAAGCGTCCGGACTGGAAGGGGGGGGGGGGGAAGCGTCCGGACTGGAAGGGGGGGGGGGGGGAAAGCGTCCGGACTAAAATGGGGGGGGGGGGGGGGGGGGAAAGAGTCCGGACTAAAAGGGGGGGGGGGGGGAAGCGTCCGGGACTGGAAGGGGGGGGGGGGAAGCGTCCGGACTGGAAGGGGGGGGGGGGAAGCGTCCGGACTGGAAGGGGGGGGGGAAAGCGTCCGGACTGGAAGGGGGGGGGGGAAAGCGTCCGGACTGGAAGGGGGGGGGAAAGCGTCCGGACTGGAAGGGGGGGGAAAGCGTCCGGACTGGAAGGGGGGGGGGAAAGCGTCCGGACTGGAAGGGGGGGGGGAAAGCGTCCGGACTGGAAGGGGGGGGGGAAAGCGTCCGGACTGGAAGGGCGGGGGAAAGCGTCCGGGCTGGAAGGGGGGGGAGTGTCCAGACTGGAAGGGGGGGGGAAGTGTCTGTGAAATCTCCCACCACAAAATGCACTCAGCCAATGACAGGTGAGGATGCCAATTTTTATTCTTCTCCTGCCATCAATGGCCAACCCGGTCCCACACTTCATCCACGTCTTTGGTGACCTCTGACCTACTTATGAACTGTTTCTTCCATGATGAAGATCAGCCATGGAGTATATTTGAGGTGTACTTCTTCCCAACATGAGAGCTAGAATGTCCAGCAACATTCATCTAGAAGACATTTCCCACACTCAAGGCACTAATACACCTCCATGGTTGTGTGGGACCCCTGATGTACAGGAAGACAGGACTTCAGTGAGGAACATTTCCCTCACTCAGGACAGGAACGTGGCTTCTTCCCGTGTGAGATCTCAGATGTGTGTGTTCAGATTGGACTTCTGTTCAACACAATTCACTCACTCAGGTCAGGAAACGTGGCTTCTCCTCTGTGTGAGATCTCAGATGTGGTTGGGTCAGATGGGATGTCTGTGAAAAACATTTCCCGCACTCAGGACAGGAACGTGGCTTCTCCTCTGTGTGAGATCTCTGATGTCTGTAAAGATGGGACGTCTGTGAAAAACATTTCCCGCACTCAGGACAGGGAAAATGGTTTCTCCCCCGTGTGAGACCTTCGATGTGTCACAAGCTCTGAATTTTCTAAAAAACATTTCCCACATCATGACAGGAATACGGCTTCTCCCCCCTGTGCGATCTCTGATGTCTGTAAAGATTGGACGTCACTGAAAAACATTTCCCGCACTCAAAACAGGAATACGGTTTCTCCCCCGTGTGCAATCTCTGATGAGTATAAAGATGGGACTCCACTGAGAAACATTTCCCACACTCAGCACAGGAATACGGCTTCTCACCTGTGTGCAATCTCTGATGTCTGTAAAGATGTGACCTAACTAAAAAACATTTTCCGCACTCAAGACAGGAATAACGCTTTTCCCCCGTGTGAGACCTTTGATGTATAACAAGATTTGATGCTTTTACAAAACATTTCACTGCACTCAGAACAAGAATAAGGCTTTTCGCCAGTGTGAGACCTTTGATGTATGATAAGAAATTGGACTTCTGTGAAAAACATTTCCTGCACTCAGGGACAGGAAAAAAGGCTTCTCACCTGTGTGAGATCTTGGTGTATGGAAAGAGTGGGACTTCTTTAAAAAACATTTCCCACACTCTGAACAGGATATACGGCTTTTCACTCATGTGACATCTCTGATGAATGAAAAGATCAGATTTTTGTACGAAACATTTCCCACACTCAGGACAGGAATACGGCTTCTTCCTCTGCGTGCAATCTCTGATGTCTGTCAAGATGTGACTTCCTTGAAAAACATTTACTTGCACTCAGGACAGGAATATGGCTTTTCACCTGTGTGAGATCTTTGATGTATGGAAAGATGGGACTTCCTGAAAAAACATTTCCTGCACTCAGGACAGGAATATGGCTTATCACCCGTGTGGGATCTTTTATGCTTATCAAGATACGATTTAGATTGGAAACATTTCCCGCACTCAGTACAGGAGAAGCTCTTCCCTGTTGGAAGGCCGGCCCGGTCCCGCACAGTCTGAGGTTCCTCAGGATACAAGGAATCTGATGGTCCATCTACACTGGGTGGTGCCGGTATGGACATTGGAGGGAGCCGGGTTTCCTCCTGGACTATACTGTGTGATGTCCTCATCTTCTACTTTCCAGTCTGGAGACAAAGTGAGACAATCCTCACGAGGTTTTTCTCATCTCCCGGCCATGGACCTAAAATACAAAGACAAAGAGGATTATAGGCAGAGCTGATAGGTTTCCCCAAACCAGGACTCCGCCCACATCAGGCAGCTTGGTCTCTGAGGAGCTTACAATTCCACCCTGAAGTGAACTAGGAAATGGGTCAGTGACCAATCAGTGAGCAGTATGGGCAGAGGAATGGATTTCGTGTGTTCATGACCCACCTGTGCTGAATCTCTGTAGGAGTGTCCTGCCTCTATAAATGTCCCCATTATTCCATCCTCCTCCATAGAATGCTGATCATCCCTCACATACGCCTCTTCTTCTTACTGATTTCACCTCTAATTTCCTATATCGATTGGATCTCCACTCTACATCAAGAAAAAGGAGAGAAAATATCATCTGTAAGATAGAAGATTTATTATTGTGACATCACATAGAAAATCCACACATCGTCTCCATGAGTCCATGTTCTAGGCATTCTCCGTCCCACCCACCTTGTAATAGTGAGGGATGGTGAGATCTTCCTGTGTGGAATCCCGGGAATACAGAGGACGGGGACATCTTCTCAGGGTGGGTTCCCATTACTGGATCCATCTACCTGATGATGGTGAGGGATGGTGTGACCTGTCCTTGTGGGTTCCCATTACAGGTATCCTGATGATGGGAATACAGATCCCGGGACATAGGGGGACATCTCTCTGGTGGGTTCCTGGTATTAGGTGGCTCCATCATATCCTTGTGCCTTCAGAAAACTCCTCCATCACTCCATACTCCTCATCCTCCTCTTTATACTCTTCTTTACCAACAATATTACCATCCCGAGGATTCCACTCTGAATATATAATAAAAACATTCATTGTAATAAACATACTGGTGTATAAATCACCAGTGATTTCCGACCACTTACATGATGATGGTGAGGGAGGTGTGACCTTCCTGTGTGGAATCCCGGTAATACAGAGGACGAAAACATCTCTCTGGTGGGTTCCTGTAGCTGGATGACCCACCATGGTGTCCTTGTACAGATCTTTGTGTCCTTCTGAAATCTCTGACTCCTCCATCACCCCATCCTCATCCTCCTCCTCTTTTATCTCTTCTTTAACCTCAACTGTAGAATATCTCAGGTTTCCACTCTGAATTATAGAATAAAAATGACATCAATGGTAACAATGCAGATAATGTACATCCTAATGATACTATCAGTTGATTTGTTCCTCATCTACCTGATGATGGTGAGGGATGGTGTGACCTTCCTGTGTGGAATCCTGAGAATACAGAGGACGGGACATCTCTCTGGTGTGGTTCCCATGACTGGATCCATCTACTGATGATGAGTGAGGGATGGTGTGACCTCCTGTGTGGAATCCCGGGAATACAGAGGATGGGGACAGCTCTCTGGTGGGTTCCCATGACTGGATCCATCTGTAGGAAACCACACACACTGACTGAATCCATTGTTTTTCTATGTGTTTATCAGATGATGGGGGATCTAGGTGGAGCCATCCGTACTGCTCTCTCCTTTCCAATAAAGTCTCCTCTTACCCGGTGATGTGAGGGGCGGCTGATTTGTCCATCATTGACGTCCTTGTAGAGATCCTTGTGTCCTTCTAAATACTCCCACTCCTCCATGAGAAATAGACAGTGACATCCTGACACCTTATAAAGGAACCTGACACACACAATGTTTTATAGTTGGTAAGGTTGATTAAAGACAGCAGTCCCATCCAACATCAACCTGTGTAGCAGCGTATTTATGTCTCCTACCACTTTCATATCCCTAATATATATTGTGTTCAAAAAAAGTATGCCTGTCTAAAAGCTTTTTGAAATTGCCAACACTTCCCGCTGACACCACCACCTTTCCTCATAACTGAGATCTTCCATCCCGCCATAACCGAGATCCTCCATAATCAAGATCCTCCATCCCCCATAAATGAGTGTTCCTCCATCCCCCATAAACCAAGAACCTCCAGCCCCCATAATATCTGAGATCTTCCATCCTCATAACGAGATCCTCCATCCACCATAACACCATATTGTGTTCAACAAGATGCCTGTCTAAAAGCTTTTTGAAATTGCCAACACTTCCCGCTGACACCACCACCTTTCCTCATAAACTGAGATCTTCCATCCCCACAAACTGAGATCTTTCATCCACCATAACGGAGAGATCCCTCCATAATCGAGAGACTTCCATCCCTAATAACGGAGATCTTCCATCCCCCATAATTGAGATCTTCCATTCCCCCATAACTGAGATCCTCCATCCCCATAACTGAGATCCCTCCATACCCCATAACTGAGAGCCTTCCATCCCCCATAAGCGAGATCTTCCATTCCCCCATAACTATGAGAGATCCTCTTTCCCCCATAACTGAGAGCTTCCATCCTCCATAAGCGAGATCTTCCATCCCCCATAACGAGATCCTCCATCCCCATGACTGAGAGCTTCCATCCCCCATAAGCTGAGATCCTCCATCCCCATAAAACCGAGATCCTCCATCCCCCATAAACGAGATCCTCCATCCCCCATAACCGAGATCCTCCATCCCCCATAAACGAGTTCCTCCATCCCCCATAAACGAGATCTTCCATCCCCCATAACGAGATCTTCCATCCCCCATAACGTGAGATTCCTCCCCATAACTGAGATCCTCCATCCCCCATACCAAGATCCTCCATCCCCCATAACGGAGTTCTCCTCCCCCCATAACCGAGTTCCTCCATCCCCCATACGGAGTTCCTCCATCCCCCATAACGGAGATCTTCCATCCCCCTTAACTGAGATCTTCCATCCCCCATAAACTGAGATCCTCCATAATCAAGATCTCCATCCCCCATAACTGAGATCCTCCAGCCCCCATAACTGAGATCTTCCATCCTTCATAACCGAGATCCTCCATCCACCATAACACCATATTGTGTTCAACAAGATGCCTGTCTAAAAGCTTGACACCACCACCTTTCCTCCATAAACTGAGATCTTCCATCCCCCAAACTGAGATCCTCCATCCACCATAACCGAGAATCCTCCATAATCAAGATCTTCCATCCCTAATAACGGAGATCCTCCAGCCCCCATAACTGAGATCTTCCATCCCCCATATTGAGATCTTCCATCCCCCATAACTGAGATCCTCCTTCCCCCATAACTGAGAGCTTCCATCCCCATAACTGAGATCCTCCTTCCCCCATAACTGAGATCCTTCCATCCTCCATAAGCGAGATCCTCCATCCCCCATAACGGAGATCCTCTTTCCCCCATAACGAGAGCTTCCATCCCCATAAGCGAGATCCTCCATCCCCCATAACTGAGAGCTTCCATCCTCCATAAGCGAGATCCTCCATCCCCCATAAACGAGATCCTCCATCCCCCATAACCGAGATCCTCCATCCCCCATAACCGAGATCCTCCATCCCCCATAACCGAGATCTTCCATCCCCCATAACCGAGATCCTCCATCCCCCATAACGAGTCCATCCCCCATAACCAAGATCCTTCCATCCCCCATAACGGAGTTCCTCCATAACCCCCCATAACTGGATCTTCCATCCTCCATCCCCCATAACGGAGTTCCTCCATCCCCCATAGTTCCTCCATCCCCCATAACGGAGTTCCTCCATCCCCCATAAACGGAGTTCCTCCATCCCCCCCGAGATCCTCCATCCCCCATAACCGAGATCCTCCATCCCCCATGAGATCTTCCATCCCCATTTCATAACCGAGATCCTCCATCCCCATAACGGAGTTCCTCCATCCCCCATAACGGAGTTCCTCCTTCCCCCATAACTGAGATCTTCCATCCCCCTTAACTGAGATCTTCCATCCCCCATAACCGAGATCCTCCATAATCAAGATCCTCCATCCCCCCGGAGTTCCTCCATCCCCCATAACAAGAACCTCCAGCCCCCATAACTGAGATCTTCCATCCTTCATAACCGAGATCCTCCATCCACCATAACACCATATTGTGTTCAACAAAATGCCTGTCTAAAAGCTTTTTGAAATTGCCAACACTTCCCGCTGACACCACCACCTTTCCTCATAACTGAGATCTTCCATCCCCCAAACTGAGATCTTTCATCCACCATAACCGAGATCCTCCATAATCAAGATCTTCCATCCCTAATAACGGAGATCCTCCAGCCCCCATAACTGAGATCTTCCATCCCCCATAATTGAGATCTTCCATCCCCCATAACTGAGATCCTCCTTCCCCCATAACTGAGAGCTTCCATCCTCCATAAGCGAGATCTTCCATCCCCCATAACTGAGATCCTCCTTCCCCCATAACTGAGAGCTTCCATCCTCTATAAGCGAGATCCTCCATCCCCCATAACTGAGAGCTTCCATCCTCCATAAGCGAGATCCTCCATCCCCCATAACCGAGATCCTCCATAACTGAGATCTTCGATCCCCCATATCCAAGATCCTCCATCCCCCATAACGGAGTTCCTCCATCCCCCATAACCGAGTTCCTCCATCCCCCATAACCGAGATCTTCCATCCCCCATAGCCAAGATCCTCCTTCCCCCATAACTGAGATCTTCCATCCCCCTCAACTGAGATCTTCCATCCCCCATAACCGAGATCCTCCATAATCAAGATCTTCCATCCCTAATAACGGAGATCCTCCAGCCCCCATAACTGAGATCTTCCATCCCCCATAATTGAGATCTTCCATCCCCCATAACTGAGATCCTCCTTCCCCCATAACTGAGAGCTTCCATCCTCCATAAGCGAGATCTTCCATCCCCCATAACTGAGATCCTCCTTCCCCCATAACTGAGAGCTTCCATCCTCCATAAGCGAGATCCTCCATCCCCCATAACTGAGAGCTTCCATCCTCCATAAGCGAGATCCTCCATCCCCCATAACCGAGATCCTCCATCCCCCATAACCGAGATCCTCCATCCCCCATAACCGAGATCCTCCATCCCCCATAACCGAGATCCTCCATCCCCCATAACCGAGATCCTCCATCCCCCATAACCGAGATCTTCCATCCCCCATAACCGAGATCCTCCATAACTGAGATCTTCCATCCCCCATATCCAAGATCCTCCATCCCCCATAACGGAGTTCCTCCATCCCCCATAACGGAGTTCCTCCATCCCCCATAACCGAGATCTTCCATCCCCCATAGCCAAGATCCTCCTTCCCCCATAACTGAGATCTTCCATCCCCCTCAACTGAGATCTTCCATCCCCCATAACCGAGATCCTCCATAATCAAGATCCTCCATCCCCCCATAACTGAGTTCCTCCATCCTCCATAACCAAGAACCTCCAGCCCCCATAACTGAGGATCTTCCATCCTTCATAACCGAGATCCTCCATCCACCATACCCGAGATCTTCCATCCCCCATAACTGAGATTCTCCAGCCCCCTTATTAGTTTTGTTGTCCTTCTCTGGAATCTCCCCCAGGGTACTGGGTGTAAATAGAAAATCAGACCTTATTACCTCCTCTGCTGCCACTTCCAGCAATGTCTCCTCTTTTACCTCCTCCCAACTCACCTCTACTTGGAAACCTTTCTTATACCTGACATCACTTCCTGTCTACAATAGACTTCCTGTCTGGGTAGAAGTGAGATCTCTACCTTGTGGAGCTCAGAGGAACTGCAGCCCCGAGAACCGTCCGTTAGTGTGACCCCGGCCTTGTGCTGGGTGTGTATGGACTGTATGTCCTCATAGAGGGGTCACCTCTACTCCCACCAAGGGGGACAGAAATATATGACTGCCTAGTCCAGCCTTTCTCAGCCAGGGCTCTTCCAAAGGGTTCTAGGGGCTCCTTCAAAGGGTTCTAGGGGTTTTTCCAAAGGGTTCTAGGGGTTCTTTGAGCAAAGAACAATTTCTGTTTTTCAGTAACTGGCATCGATGATCTGCTCTCAGGGTCAAAGGGATTTAAGATTTTCCATACCGAATTAAATTGGTGGGACTAGATGGTGGAGGAAAGCCATCACTGTGTACCATCTTTGGTCCCACTGTAGACCAATAAAAGGAAACGCATATTGTTCTCTTATACCTTGGGTTTAGATTGGATGGGATGGGAAGGAGGGGGGTCCACCAGATTGTCCATTGGTGGCAGAGCCAGTAGATCTGCTTTCAGTGAATGAGTCGAAGAAGCCTGCCTAACTCAAGCAGCTGGCCAAGGCTTTGGATGTTCATGATAACCAGACCAAACCTTGACTAGGTACTTGATTGGGATGTTTCCCATGTCTGGGGTACAGAGGAACATTGCAACTGGACCTGATGGGTGACAGTGACCCTCTGAATGGAGGAGGACAGCTCTTTGCCCAGTGAAGCTCTCCTCCCCCCATAAAATCCACCCACTATAGGGGAGCTTCGTGAGAGAGCCTCTCTCTCTCTGAGCTCCGCTGCCTGTCCCTGAGTTGTGGCAGGAGCAGTGATCTGCAAAGCTTCTTGGGACACCCAGCATCAGCTTTGGGCCCCCCATCCCCCCCTTTATTTACAACCCTTGATATCTAAATTTGTTCTCTCTGGGTTGTTGCTTTCTTCTGCTATCAGTACCTAGGTGGTCTTGTCCTGTCTGGTGTGTTACCTGCTGAAGGAAAGTCATTGGTGGGGAGTAGCAGGTTGGGATGAATCTCTCTTGTTGGTTTGTTTGCTTTTTCTGGTTTATCTTTTTAGATATTCTTTTGCCCTATCTGCTCCCCTACACGGAGCACATCCTTTTCCCAGAATGTTAAATTTTTTCCTAGGACTGGCCTTTCCAACAAATTCCTTACGAGAGTATTCATCTCCAATTGGTCATCAATGTAAGGGACCACTACACAGTGACCACTGATATAAGGGGGTCCTTCTCCCATTGGCCACCAATGTAAGGGACCACTACACTGACCACTGATATAAGGGGGTCCTTCTCCCGTTGGTGACCAATGTAAGGGACCACTACACTGACCACTGATATAAGGGGGTCCTTCTCCCATTGGTCACCAATGTAAGGGACCACTATACTGACCACTGATATAAGGGGGTCCTTCTCCCATTGGTCACCACCCCACGTTTCCCAGGCTCTGCTATCTCCCCAGCAGATGTTGCCATGCAGAGAGGAGGAAGACCAGTGACCATCAATTCCAATAGACCCCAGATGTCCTAATAAAGAGAACCTGTCACAACAATCTCCAATCACAGAGGGAAGTAATTTGTTCTTATGTAAAAGTAATTAAGTTAATTTTAAAAAAAGTGTAAAAAGTGAAAGACACCCCCCCTTTCCCTCCCATTTTCAAGCACATGCTGCTTCTGCCTACAAAGGAAAATGTCAGTTGTGCTACATGCGTCACATATTCCCCTACACATAGGAGTGACGCAACAAATCCATGATTCGCAGTTATGGCCAAACCCATGACCCGCGAAGGCTTTTAAAGCGTCACCTCCGGGCTGCGTCTGGATACCGGCGTCCGTCACCATTGCACCGGCGCACACAATTTTCTTTATTGTTCAATAACATTTTTATTACAATTTTACTAATAACAAGATTACAGTGGAAAAAAAAAAATAATGAAATAGTAAAAAGGCAGATTCCCGATTGGTCAGGAGATTCCTTGTCTAGAATGTGGAGTCATTATTGATTGGCGTACAATACACAACGTGTTCCGTTATTATAACAAAGTATTGCAGAAAAGATCCCGACAGACAAAGGGGGAGGGGAAAAATGATCCCACTGATACCAATGATAGAGCACTATTCCTCCCACTGACACCAGCGATGAGGCACTATTCCTCCCACTGACACCAATGATGGGACACTATTCCTCCCACTGAAACCAATTGTGGAGCTCTATTTCTTCAACTGATACCAATGATGGGGCACTATTCTTCCCACTGATACCAATGATGGGGCACTATTCCTCCCACTGACACCAATGATGGGACACTATTCCCCCCACTGACACCAATGATGGGGCACTACTCCTCCCACTGATACCAATGGTGGGACACTATTCCTCCCACTGACACCAATGATGGGGCACTATTCCTCCCACTGATACCAATGATGGGACACTATTCCTCCCACTGATACCAATGATGGAGCACTATTGATACTAATAGGGCACTCTGACTCCCATTGACACCAATGATGGGGTATTGTTTACTCCCATTGATGCCAATGATGGGGCATAGTTTATTCCCATTGACACCAATGATGGAGCATTGTTTACTCCCATTGACACCGATGATGGGGCATTGTTTACTCCCATTGACACCAATGATGGGGCATTGTTTACTCCCATTGACACCAATGATGGGGCATTGTTTACTCCCATTGACACCAATGATGGGGCATTGTTTACTCCCATTGACACCAATGATGGGGCATTGTTTGTCCCATTATGATGGGGCATTGTTTACTCCCATTGACACCAATGATGGGGCATTGTTTACTCCCATTGACACCAATGATGGGGCATTGTTTAATCCCATTGACACCAATGATGGGGCATTGTTTACTCCCATTGATACCAATGATGGAGAATTGTTTACTTCCATTAATACCAATGATGGGGCATTGTTTACTCCCATTGACACCAATGCCGGGGTATTGTTTACTCCCATTGATACCAATGATGGGGCATTGTTTACTCCCACTGACTCCAGGACATATTCTTCTCCCACTGGTCACTGACATAGGGGTCTATTCACAAAGATTTGTGCCCAAAGAAGGTGAATGTACATTCCTTCTGTGTGAATGGGATTAAAAAAAATGAATGCTATTAGGCTATCGGCTAAACCGGTTCAATGTTTTCTAATAATTGAATGTAAAATACTATATTTAGCTGTGATGGCCGTTCATCTAGAATACATTTCCCGCACTCAAGACACTAATACACCTCGAGGGTTGTGTGAGATCCTTGATGTCCAGGAAGACAGGACTTCAGTGAGGAACATTTCCCTCACTCAGGACAGGAAAGTGGCTTCTCCCCCGCGTGAGATCTCTGATGTGTGTAAAGATTGGACCTCTGCGCAAAACATTTCCCGCACTCAAGACAGGAATACGGCTTCTCCCCCGTGTGCAATCTCTGATGTCTGTTAAGAGAGGACTTGTCCGTAAAACATTTCCCACACTCAGAGCAGGAATACGGCTTCTCCCCCGTGTGAGACCTACGATGTATGACAAGGTGCGTTTTTCTTGGAAAGCATTTTCCGCACTCAGGGCAGGAATAGGGCTTCTCGCCTGTGTGCGACCTCTGATGTGTGTAAAGATGGGATTCCACTGAAAAACATTTCCCACACTGAACACAGGAAAATGGCTTCTCGCCCGTGTGCACTCTCTGATGTCTGTAAAGATGTGACCTCACTAAAAAACATTTCCCGCACTCATGACAGGGATACCGCCTTTCCCCCGTGTGAGACCTCTGATGCGTAACAAGATTTGATGCTTTTACAAAACTTTTCCCGCACTCGGAACAAGAATAAGGTTTCTCACCAGTGTGAGACCTTTGATGTATGATAACGTAGGACTTCTGTAAAAAACATTTCCCGCACTGAGGACAGGAATACGGCTTCTTGCGCATTTGGGATGTCTGAGGACACTCTGTAGGAGTGTCCTCCTCTATAAATGTCCCCGTTATTCCATCCTTCCTCCATAGACTGCTGATCATCCCTCACATACGCCTCTTCTTCTTCTGACTTCACCTCAACTTTTATATCTGTCAGATCTTCACCCTAAACCAAGAGAAGGAGAGAAAAAATTGTCTGTAAAATACAAACTTTAATATTGTGACATCACACAGAAAATCCGCGCAGTGGGGGAGGTTCAAAAAACGGGAGCGCAAACAATCTGGTGCCGCGGTGCATAGTAACCAATCGTCTTCTACTTCTTATTGTCAAAGCTTCATTGCACAAGTTGAAGTCAGAAGCTGATTGGTTACTGTGCAGCTGATCCGGATTCTGACTGCTCTAGTTCCCCCCACTGTCTCCACAAGTCCATGTTCTAGATGCTCCATCCTACCAACCTTGTAATGGTGAGGGATGGTGAGACCTTCCTGTGTGGAATCCCGGGAATACAGAGGACGGGGACATCTCTCTGGTGGGTTCCCATGACTGGATCCATCTACCTGATGATGGTGAGGGATAGTAAACCTTCCTGTGTGGAATCCAGGGAATACAGATGACAGGGACATCTCTCTGGTGGGTTCCCATGACTGGATCCATCTACCTGATGATGGTGAGGGATGGTGTGACCTTCCTGTGTGGAATCCCCGGGAATACAGAGGACGGGGAAATCTCCCTGGTGGGTTCCCATGACTGGATCCACCTACCTGATTATGGTGAGGGATGGTGAGATCTTCCTGTGTGGAATCCCGGGAATTCGGAGGATGGGGACATCTCTCTGGTGGGTTTCTGTCATTTGTTGGCTCCATCATATCCTTGTGTCCTTCAGAAAGCTCCTTCATCACTCCATACTCCTCATCCTCCTCTTTATACTCTTCTTTAACAACAATGTTATAATCTCCGAGGATTCCACTCTGAATATATAATAAGATATTAATTGTAACAAACATGCTGTGTATAAATCATAACTATCAGTGATTGTTCCTCATCTACCTGATGATGGTGAGGGATGGTGTGACCTTCCTGTGTTGAATCCCGGGAATACAGAGGATGGGGACAGCTCTCTGGTGGGTTCCCATGACTGGATCCATCTGTAGGAAACACACACACTGACTGAATCCATTGTTTCTATGTGTTTATCAGATGATGGGGGATCTAAGTGGAGCCTCCGTACTGCTCTCTCCTTTCCAATAAAGTCTCCTCTTACCCGGTGATGTGAGGGGCGGCTGATTGTCCATCATGACGTCCTTGTAGAGGTCCTTGTGTCCTTCTAAATACTCCCACTCCTCCTTAGAAGAAACGGTTCCAGAATTCCCGGCACCGCTCACCTCTCCTGTCAGTAGCTCAACAATCTTCTTGGTGACTTCTAGAATCTTCTGCATGTTGTGTCTCTCAGGTTTTAGGGAGTCACATGGAGGCACTGTGATGGTCATATGATCACCTGACTTCACGGGAGGCAAACTCTATATCGAAACACCAATAGTAATGTCATACAATACTCCCAGAATCTTCACCTCTCTGGTCAGGTCTGTTTTATTAATGGAGAGAAGAGTGATGTCATGTGACCTCCCAGAATCCTCCTCACCTCTCCGGTCAGGTCTGTGTTTTATTAATAGAGATGAGAGTGATGTCATGTGACCTCCCAGAATCCTCCTCACCTCTCCGGTCAGGTCTGTGTTTATTAATAGAGATGTGAGTGATGTCATGTGACCTCCCAGAATCCTCCTCACCTCTCCGGTCAGGTCTGTGTTTTATTAAGAGATGAGAGTGATGTCATGTGATCTCCCAGAATCCTCCTCACCTCTCCGGTCAGGTCTGTGTTTTATTAATAGAGATGAGAGTGATGTCATGTGACCTCCCAGAATCCTCCTCACCTCTCCGGTCAGGTCTGTGTTTTATTAATAGAGATGTGAGTGACGTCATGTGACCTCCCAGAATCCTCCTCACCTCTCCGGTCAGGTCTGTGTTTTATTAAGAGATGAGAGTGATGTCATGTGACCTCCCAGAATCCTCCTCACCTCTCCGGTCAGGTCTGTGTTTTATTAAGAGATGAGAGTGATGTCATGTGATCTCTCAGAATCCTCCTCACCTCTCCGGTCAGGTCTGTGTTTTATTAATAGAGATGAGAGTGATGTCATGTGACCTCCCAGAATCCTCCTCACCTCTCCGGTCAGCAGGTAGACGATCTCCAGGGTGAGGTTTAGTATCCTCTCAGTCATGTGACTCCGGTCCTCCTCCATCCTCATTGGTCTATACAGGTCTCCTTGTAGACGAATAACTTTGGGAAATGACATTAAGAATGATAGGATGGGGATGTGAGGGGGGGGGGGGGGGGAAGGAGGGTTGCTCTACATTCTAGGACTATGGCCCCCCCCATAGGGAACACATTTAGATTGAACTGTTTAGTGTTTGTCCTGCCGGATCAGAAATTCTATTTTCTCTGTTGGGTTTGTTTTGAGTCTGAACTGGTTTTGATTAGTTTTAGATCTGCGAACAAGGAATGATAAATATGATCTGTGAGGTGCTATGAGGTCAATGTCGGGTAATCATGATGTCCAGGAAGGGGAACCTCCTGGATTATGGCTACATTTGCTGGCTAATCATAATTGCCAGAACTCGGTCTGGAAGGCTTCAATCGCCGGCAGCCTTCTGATTGACAGGAGTGATGTCACAGTCACTCTCTGCAGTAATAGAAGGAATTGGATTGGATGGCAGGAGGATGGTGCTGGTGTAGCAGAGAGCTGTGGGGGAGGATTCTGTTCTCTTCCCTCCAATGGCTGCCCAGTGTGGGTAGGAGGACAGCAGGAGGTAAGGGGTTCGTTCTCTTGGTTGCCAACTTTACTATTGGTTCCTGAAGCTCTGAATTGCAGCACCGGGCACTGCCAGAGCCTGTGCCATGGGAAGATATTGGACTGCCAACCCATATGCACAGCACTGAGCCAGGGCCACCCGCGCAAACAGACCTCCTCCAAGAACGAGTGCCTACCAAGAGGTGAAGGATTGCCATTCTTCATTCCACTTGGTAACCAGGAACGTTTTAATTGACAAGTGAGATGGTAAGAAAGTGAAGGTGTCCTTCATTGCCTGGCAGGAAAACTGTAAGGAGGTCAGAACAGTAAGTTCAGGTAGGACAACCATCATAAACCAAGAGCCACCTTAGAGTCTCCCCCAAACCTCAGCCCTCAGTCCATAATGAAAGAAATGTTCCAGCCCTGGAAGTGGGGGAATGTTCTGCCCCTGAAGGGGTTAATCTGGGTTCCCACACTATATATGTGTGTATCATCATCTACTGGAGATAAAAGACGTCAAAGTGACTATGGAGGAAGAGGACGGACATGACTGTGGAGGAAGAGTACGGACGTGACGGTGGAGGAAGAGGACGGACGCGGCGGTGGAGGAAGAGGACGGACGCGGCGGTGGAGGAAGAGGACGGACGCGGCGGCGGTGGAGGAAGAGGACGGACGCGGCGGTGGAGGAAGAGGACGGACGCGGCGGTGGAGGAGAGAGGACGGACGCGGCGGTGGAGGACGGACAGTGACCGTGGAGGAGGAAGAGGACGGACAGTGACCGTGAAGAAAGAGGACGGACGTTGACCAGGGAGGAAGAGGACAAATGTGACTATGGAGGAAGAGGACGGACATTGACCATGGAGGAAGAGGACGGACGTGACCATGGAGGAAGAAGACGGACGTGACGATGGAGGAAGAGGACGGACGTGACGATGGAGGAAGAGGACGGACGTGACTATAGAAGAAGAGGACGGACGCGACTGTGGAGGAAGAGGACGGACGCGACGGTGGAGGAAGAGGACGGACGCGACGGTGGAGGAAGAGGACGGACGCGACGGTGGAGGAAGAGGACGGACGCGACGGTGGAGGAAGAGGACGGACGCGACGGTGGAGGAAGAGGACGGACGCGGCGGTGGCGGAAGAGGACGGACGCGGCGGTGGCGGAAGAGGACGGACGCGGCGGTGGAGGAAGAGGACGGACACAACGGTGGAGGAAGAGGACGGACGCGACGGTGGAGGAAGAGGACGGACATTGGGACCGTGGAGGAAGAGGACGGACATTGACCGTGGAGGAAGAGGACGGACATTGACCGTGGAGGAAGAGGACGGATGTGACCATGGAGGAAGAGGACGGGCGTGACGATGGAGGAAGAGGATGGACAGTGACCATGGAGGAAGAGGACGGACGTGGTGGTGGAGGGAGAAGATGGACATGACCACGGAGGAAGAGAATGGACACAATGATGAAGGAGGAGGTTGGACATGACGATGTAGGAAGAGTATGGGCATAACTATGGAGGAAGAGGATGGACGTGACGATGGTGAAGAGGACAGAGAGGACAATCGAGGAAGAGGACGGACATGACGGGGGGTTACTGGGTGTAAATATAAAATCAGATCTTATTACCTCCTCTGCTGCCACTTCCAGCAATATCTCCTCTTTACTTCCTCCCGTCTCACCTCATCAGTGACTTTTTGTTTATACCTGACATCACTTCCTGTCTGTACCTGACATCACTTCCTGTCTTCCATAGAGACTTCCTGTCTGGGTAGAAGTGAGATCACCTCTTGTGGAGCTCAGAGGAACTGCAGCCCCGAGAACCGTCTGGTAGTGTGACCCCGACCTTGTGCTGGGTGTGTATAGACTGTATATCGGTATCAGACATGGGCACGCTGGAAATGTTTAGTTTTGGATGCATTCGTTCATTGAAGAATTTCATTTGGTCATATTTGTTACATTGAATCTATTCGTTATTGGCATTTTTTAGTATGCTCGTTAGGTGGATTCCAAAAAACTTTAGTTTTTCCGTTAGATTGCTATTTATTCAATACATTATCGAATCAAACGGATTCAAATTGGATAGATTTGATATTTTCAGATGCTAGTCCAACCCACCAAAAGAAATGTCACGAGCTGATTG